GCTTTGAGAAGGGCAGCTGTGTAGCATATTGTTGCTGATTTTGGTAAACTTATATCTGTTGGAAAGAAAATAAAAATAAGAACGTATGATTCTTCCGTTTGCACTGAAGATGGGTCATGTGTGAGTGGGCAGCTAGAGAAAATGAAATGATAAACGAAGAATAAACAATTCTCAGTAAAAGCTGATTTGATGAAATGAGAAAACCTATCATGAACTATATTAGGAAAAGGGCTTGCAACTAAATGTTTCTCCATAAGCTGAAGTGAGTTTCAGTGTAAGATAATTATCTACATTTTCTAGTTCTAATGACTAACCCTGGACATGGTATATTGTCAGAGAATCGAATTCTGGAGTTATTATTATTTTATCCTTTTATTACCATACAGTACTGGAAGACAAGTGTTGCAATATTTTTATGCCATGAAGAAGCATTCAGGATCATAACTTTGATCTTGAACCTGACCTTATTAAATGCTAAGATAGGTAGTACGAACATATTTGCCCATATATTTTTTAAAAATTAAATAGTTTGTTGGTTCACTGAATCCAGTAATTAGTTACCATTCTGAAGCCTTCCCCAACACAGAGCACACAATTCCCACCTGGTGTAGCCAAAGAAAAGCACCAAATTTGGGAAGGCTGCAGTATTGTATTTATCTTCTCATAAATGGGTCCATCATTTTCAGATGCCTTATGGATGAAGGAACACTGTGTATTAAATGTTTGCTGCTCGTCTGTCTGTTACATTTCTGTATAAAGTAGTGTGGCGTACTTGAAATACCAACAGTATACACTGATGCTGAAAACTAAGGTTTCCATTCTTTGCTTTCCCTTCCTTTGATCCTTCTTCCCAGAGATATCTCAGATACTGGAAATGAGCCAGGCTGGGGGAATAACCTGAAGTAACAGAGCATGCATAGGTAAGGTGGGTAAGGGCTCAGGTTCTTTCATCTATGACTTCTTGTTAAAATAAGATGCACATCCTTCTCATCTATGTTATAGGTGACTACATTAAAGTTCATGGAGATACATAATATATTAAGCATGACTGCAGCTTAAGTATAACCTCCATTAGTCAGCTATTCTTAAGGTTCTTTGGAATTTAAGAGGAGTAATGTACAGTACTTTAAAGCTGGTTGGCATCTGTAGTACATGTGCAGATATCTCCAGAGACAGAAAGAGAAAACAGCCAGAGCAGCAATCAGAAGTCAATCAAGAGACCGTTCATCCATTTACCAAAATAGAATATGCTTAATCAGTCTCAAGCCACCAATACGAAGGTTTAGTCCTTGAATCAAACCATCTAATTTGTGCATCCAAACTGCTGTAACTTCACTGAAGTTGCTCTTATTATTTATTTAACCAGTTGATATCCTGCTCTTTTCATATTCATAGCAACTAGACAAGATAAATCACTGAACTCCTAAAAGAGTCAAGCAAACCTAATAACCACAAAAACAAGGAGACAAAAATAAAGATGAAAAACTGAGAGAAGTAAGCACTTCCAGATTCAGAACTCCAACAGTATGGCAAATGCTACCAAACGTTACATGAAGCAGCCCGCTCTATGGCATCCCACTGACATTTTAACAGAACAGTGGTCTGAACTAGATTGGGACTTCTCCATTCAGTATGTGGGGAACCTAACGGTCACCCTCAGCTTTGCACCAATCAATCAACCAACCAACCAACCAACCAACCAACCAACCAACCAACCAACCAACCCCCCCCACCCACCCACCCCTAGTCAGGTTTTAGATTTTCAAAATTCCATTAGGGTCATGGAGAAATTTATTTGATCCACTAGTATTCAAAAATACACATAGAACTTTATTTATTTATCAAATTTGTCACTGCCCATCTCGTGAAACGACTCTGGGCAGTTTACAATAAGATAAAAATTCATTAAAATATGACATAAAAACAATCCTAAAAATAAATAGGTTCCAATTTCTTTAATTTTGTTGTATGTGCACATTAGATCTAAATATTATTTATGTAGTGCAATAATTTTAATCTGGGACATGAGCTTGCTGGAACCTATATATCTTGGGATAATGTGTGGAAAATCCCACTATTTGTCAAGGAAGGCTCTATGATTCACTTTGCAAATGGGCTGAAGATCTGATCTTTCCTGAATCAGATGGGGCCTCCAGGATCGGAAGTAACTGATTTGGAAACTTCTGGACACTAGCTGCTGGGAAAGAATAGAATGAGGGAACTGTTGCCTCACGTGTTGTATCTGATTTTGCTCTGACTGGCCGTCATAGGAAACAAGATCCTGAACTTGAATTTTTTTGCAGCCGGGCTACTGTATCAGATAACAGAAACAATATCAGAAGTTGTGGTTTTGTATTCATCCAACACAACACTTATAATAATGTTCTTGTAATGTGGTATATCTGGGCTACAAAAAATTCAGATGACCGCAAGATGGAAGTAGAGTTGGGGTTTTCAGTATCTTCTTGCTGCCATCTAGAGGTTGCCAAATCTGAAAGACCTAATATTTTAACTTTTTAAAGTTTTAGATTATTTTAACTGTAACAGAATGTGTGTATACACAGACAGAAACATTGCTGTTGCATTATATTTGTTTATGTTTCACCAATAAACCTTTTTTAAAAATTGAAAAAATGTAATTCTATCTAAGGATCCCAGATATGTGTTCTGCTCAACTTTCCTTTTAAGTAGTAAACAGGCTTTATTTACAAGCATCATGCTACTTTTTTAAACACACTTAGGTCTGGATTTTGCAGTCTGGTTGAATGGAATCAGGAAAGCTAGTGAATATAAGATCATGGTTTTGTTCTTTCAGCTTCAGCAGATTTGACCAGAGAATCCCTACACAGTCAATGTCTCTGTAGTATAAATATCTTTAACCAAAATTCAGTTATAATTATCATTTTTAGTTCTCCATTTTATTGCTTAATTACAATTAGATCGTATTTAGCAGCAAAGCTAAACAGGCTCTCACTGAGTTTAATACATATATGCTGATCTATGACCGAAATAAAGATTGGACTGTATTTAATACATAACTTGCTTTCAATAACACTAAAAATAGCTGTTTTAATAGAAAATAATTTAGTTTTATAGTAAGACGTAAAGGTCATGGCTGCTCTAATTTCTTAATAATCCTGCAAATAACCTATTTCTTCTGAACTAAAAGCTCTTCACCAAGTCTTAATTGCTATAACACAGATGCACTTTTAGCCCAGAACTCAATAATGTTTATAGTTGAGTAAATGCTATTTGTATCATAGCAGCTGGCAGCATTTAGCAGTCATTAGCTATCTTGAAACAGGTAAGCAGAGTCAGAACTGCCATGATATCTCAGAGTTGTGAAGTAGACTGGGAAGTCTAAAAAATATCCCAAAGAAGGCAACAACAAACTATTTTTGTATCATTACCAAGAAAACTATATGGATGTGTCCAGGTAGTCTCTAGGAGTTGAGCTCAATCTAAGAGATTCTTTAACTTTACTTAAATCTTATTTTCATAGGCAACAATTTTAAGCATCTAGCTTACAGCATATAACAAAATGGGATTATAATTATAATTATAAACCAACTGCCTTTGCCTCTCTTCTCAAATGCGAAATATCTCTACAGCAACATTACTACTACTGTGACATGACTACACTTCTGCATAAATTGGAACAGGATCTACTGGCCTTTCATCAGAAGAAGTGGCCTAATACCCAGAAGTCCATCTAGAATCTAGAAAAGAGACCATTTTTTTGTGTTTGGGAACCACACTTAAGTTTTGCAGGGAGGGAGTATGCTGATGGATGATGGAGCAATGAAGCAAAGGCTGTATCATACATATGGTAAAGACTGGATTTTCTGGCTTAGAATCTGAGATTTCTATAGGGCCAACATCCTTCAACACTGGTAGTATTCATTAATCATTACTGAAAGCTTGGTACCACATGTAAGTGATGCAAAAATAAGGGCCACAATATATAAAGTAATTCTTAGCTCATTTTCATGCTCATCACCATCAAACAGATCTTTCCACCCTTCTGCAGATGGTCTTGATTGGTCTGCTCAAGCACCTAATGGATCCTCTGGCTTTCAAGAAGTTTCTTCTGAGACTTTGCTGGACATTTCCACTGAGTTGTTTGTCATTAAATGAAATGTGGAGGCAGTCATTGCTTTGGACAGGACAGCATCCGAGCAGCCTTTCCTGCTTTTAGATCCAGTGGCACACTTGGTTTACCAAGAAAACTGAAGTGACAAAAGAGATACCTAGAGGAATCCTGGTGGAAGACAAGGAGTGGATCTGACCAAGCATGTGTAAGGGCTCTAGTTTTACCTACACTGGTGATAAAGAGTCACAAAATACCAATTTTTCCTCTGCCCTTATTCTGACCTCAGATAGCTGACCAGCAGCCCTCTTTGAAGTGCCCTGAATTCTTTTAGGAAAAGATGAGTTGTAAAATATTTGCTGGGCCACTGTGAAGAGTTTGCAGTACATTTGAATTATAAAATAGTTAGATCCATGCAAAAGGATCTAACTAGTTAGTTAGATACAGTTCAAAAGGATTCCATAATTAATGGGATCAAAGGTAACTGAGAGGTTGAGGAGGACCAGGAATCTTGCCATAGCTAGTCAGATTTAGTTGAGATGAAAAACGTTATCACCTTGTGAAGTTATCTGGGATGAATTTGAGACTGTTGGTCCTGAAGAAATAGACATGGTCCTTGGTAATACCATCAGTGCCTTCTGTGGTTAGATCCCTGCCCTACCTGGCTGGTGAAAGCCTCCAGGCCAGTGATAGGCTACTGGGTTGGAATGATAGCAAATGCATCCTTGAGGGAAGGTATAGTGTTACTGACCTTGAAAAAGGCAGTGTTATGCCTTCAAGAAGCCTTCATGGTTCTTCAGATAGCTTGGAGGACCACCACCAAGTCTTAAACCTTCCTTTTATAGCAAAGGTTGTTGAGGAGATGACAGAGCTGAAATTGGATGGCTCTAGAGGAGATGGATTATTTGGACTCTTTTTGGGTGGGTTTCATGCTAAGGTATGGTACCAAGACACACAGATTGCTCTGGTGAATGACCTATGGCAAGATTCCTGGTCCTCCTCAACCTCTCAGTTGCCTTTGATCCCATTAATTATGGAATCCTTTTGAACTGTCTCTGAGATTGGAACAGGAAGTATAGTATTACAGTTGTTCTTCTTCCTCTGGGAACTGTTTCAGTTGGTGATGATGGGAGGGGAGTAGTCACATCCGAAAACCTTTTACTGTAAGATACCACAGTGCTCAACTTTTTCTGCTCCATGGTTTAAGCAGCAGCGAAAGGTCATCCATCAACATAGGGGCAAATATCACAATACTCAGTTGTTCATCTCAATTTCAGGCCAAACAGGAGATGTGGTCAAAGCATTGTCCCAATGCTTGGAGGCTGTCAGGATCTGGATGGGGATGAACAGACTCAGGTTCAATCCCTGCAAGATGGAGTGGCTGTGGGTTCAGAGGCCAATGAGTCATTCATTTTAGGCAGGATTGGTTCCCTCATTCTAAATTACTTTAAAATCTGGAAGTCTTCTTGAACTCCCAGCTCTTGCTAATTAAGCTGGTGGCAGCTGTGATGAAAAGGATGGCAATTGTTTATATGGGAGTTTGTTTCTGCAGCATATTGACTATTCATACTGTATGTTGTGTTAACTTTTATTATACAATTCGAGTGTTTGTCCCTTAAAGTTGTCTGTGAATAAAAATGGCCTCCAAGCCTATGTAATAAATAAGTAGCATGAATTTTATTAAATTTTAAAACCCAAGTTTACTAAATCTTTCTGACACTTCCAATCCGCTGTTTTGATTTTGCTACAAAGGACCAAGTAAATGCCCTATTTATAAGCAAATGGTATGTGATTATGTAGCCAATTTATACAGTGCACTTGGCAACAAGTCAAGGTCAATGGGGAAACAATGTCAACAATAAGATATGCACTGTTACCAGCAAACATAATTAAGGTTTTGGAGTTCAGCAACTGTCACCATGGCACCTCCATTTAATCCATACCATAAGTTTACTTATCTTTTTTTTTCCTACCCCAGAAGCCAGAGCTTCTTTTTCCTTAGAATACTTTCTACTGTAAAAGCAACATCCTTAAGAACAAAAGCAGCTAAAATCCTTCAGTATTAAATCAAAATAAATGTCTGAAAAGAACTCAAATGCAGTTAGGCAGGGGTTCCTGCTCCCCACACTTTTTCTCCTGGTGGGACATATCTGGAATTTTGAGGACAAGTTGTTGGCTTTCTAGCAAAATGTCTACTTTCAAAGGGTCCCAGTTCAAAAACTACTTGCCATGGAGGACAGATGGCACAGATTTATGAAAATGCTATTCCTTCTAGCTCCGTCTATCCCTGCAGATCTTTTCCCTTTTTTCAAGGTGGTAGGAATACTTCCAAACAAAGCACTTATTTCCTAACAAAGCTTATGGAATCTATTTATGGACCAGGGGCATTCTTAGAGATAGAGATTATGCTGAAGGTACTTTTCATGATGCAAATTCTTCATTATTTTTAATGTAATTTAATTTAATTTTACTATTTAAAATGTAAAAAGTCAAGTGGGGCAGCAAATATAGAGGTGACATATGGGGATCTCTGGGCCCCCAAGTGCCCCCGAGTGCCATGCTGAGGACCACAGCAGTTGGAACTCTCAGAATGCACACAGCAAATTTTGGAGGACTCTAATATCTCACAGAGCATCATGTATGTTTAAAGAGAAATCTTGCCAGAAATAGATTTTATGTTAGTAGGACAGGCACCAAAGAACATCTCAGAAGGCTACTTGAACTAAGAAACATGAAGAAATATTAAATCAGCATGCTTAGAGGAGATTGACCAAATGATCCAGTGGTGCTTATGGCAGTATTTCTCAATCTCTGGTTTCCATCTATTATATTTTAAGTTTTAAGCCTTTATTTTAAGCCTTTTTATACTGTATTCAAGCCTGTGGCAGTTCTTTTTTTAGCTGAAACCTCACACAAAATGTCTCATAGTCTGCTGCTTTGTAAGGATCTGTGGATTGAAATACTAATCTAATGCTATAAAGATAAGGAACAACGTACTAATTTACATAACTGCTCAATAACCTCATTTATATGTCATCCAATAGCAAAAGGTCTATGGGTGGCTTAGCATAAAAATGAGTATGTTCAAGTTTAAAAAAATGGATATTTTAGATGCCCCTCAAAAATCAGCTATCCAAGGAAGGAGGCAACAGAAACTGCTCTGGCCAGAAGCAATCTTAGATTCTACATCTGTAGCTTCTGCTACTGCTGGAAGAAAATGCCTCTGCTTGGGCAAGTCCTTATTTCCTTCCTCCAAGACTTCCTGAAAACTCTTATCTGAACCTCAAGAGTTTGAGCGGCACTTCTAAAGGAAGAAAAGGAAGAAGAAAGTAATAGTTCTTGCTTAGGTACTTCTAACTTTAACTTAGGTTCTGATGAAATTGGAAGACTTTTCTGTAAAGTAACAAGATGCAGAATCATATTTATACCTTACAAATTCATATAAGAGTCAGTAAAACTCTGAAGTGGTTAAGAAAAAATGGAATAATGAGGGGAAAGAGTAACTGTCCTTCACTACCACAACATTTAAAAACTAGATATTATGGATTGTATGGAATTATTTGAAGGCTAAAGCTAAGCTACAACTTACTTTAACTGCTTAAGAAAACTCTGCAATATAAATAAGAGAAATACAGAACACTGAAATTTCCCTCCTTGAACATGATTTTGTTAGAGGACATTGCTCTCTCTTTTCTTTGTTTTACACCCATACAGACCCAGAGTATCAGGGTATACAAAGAGCTACTTCACTTACCATCATATTTTGCTAAAACAGCTTGAACGTCTGCATATGCTTGCAACTCCAGCAAAGCTTCTAGCAAATTTTCATGGATGTTGAACATACTAAGAAGAGGGAATTCTTTCATCAGCTATAAAAATAATAATAATAATAATAAGCTTAGCATTTAGCATGGTATCTTACATTGCAAATATAAAATCAAATTATAACGACTGCTCAAATTTAATAATACTGTATATCCACCATTCTCTGAACTCAGAACATGAAAACCATTCACAGGAATATATGGTTAGTTTAATAAACTCAACAGCAGCAGGATTAAAACAGTGTACTGAAATTCTTTAGTACAACCAGTACTGAAGTAGATGGGCTAAATAGCCTAACCTGATAAACAACATTTTTGTCCTACGGTTCAATTTTCTATCTTGCAATCAAAAGAATAGAATGGGTGAACTGGGGCTTAACTAAGCTTCCACAGATCATGCTGAGAACCTGACTTGGATCAACTGAATATTCTGAACTGCTGGCAGGGTGGGGTTAGCCTTCAAGATAAACTTTCTTTAAGCCCAATTGCTTGTGCATTATCAGGACATTTTCATGTCTCTTCCTGATAGAGATCATAAGGGATGGGGGGGGGGAGTTGTTAAATTCCAGTACCACATTTCCTCATTATTTGTGGGTTCCAGAAGCCAATTAAAAACAATAGAAAAAGGAAGGAGCAAAGGATTGAGAAATGATGGAAAAAGCAAGAAGGGTATAGCAGCATAACATCTAAGGCCCACATAAATACATTCATAAAACAAACTGCTGTTAAAGGATTTGGAGAGAACCAACAAACTATAATTATGTGGATGAGTAACAAATGCAAAATATAACCAAGCTGATTAAAAAAAAGGGGGCAATTATCAAAATACAGCAAGAATATGCTAAATTAAATTGATCCCATTCAAGACACATGGACATTTTTCTAGGGATATATAACCATCACATGTTATTAAGGTACATTTTTCTAATTATGCAGCAACAGCTCTTGTGTTCATATTTTTACTTATGAAGATTGGAAAGGAGCATTTTAATTTTGTTAGCACATTAAATTGCATTCTCCAGAGCCAACTTGTGTCCAGAAAAGCCTAAGACTCACTAGATGAAATCTGACTAATCCTCCTTATTCAGGGTCAATGTACATGTATTGAATTATTCAATTTTTATCATTATTAATTTTAATTTTCCAGGATTGAGTAAGAAACTGAAGCCAAGTCCAAGATGTATTCCAATCATGTTCTGCTTACTATAGGAAATGTATTAAAATCAAAATAAGTGTCCAGTCAAATCCTTGAGATCCTTGTATCACAAAAACAGTGGGAAGGGGACAACCTAAAACTGGGTTGGAAAAGCTATACCTTCCTAAATAGGTGAACTCCAAAACCTCTATTTTTCACCTGTTGGTTAAAAAAAAAGTCCTAGATTTTGGGTTAGAAAGAGAAGGCATATCAATTTAGTCCAGCTCTGAAAAACTGTGGTATACATAGGCTATATTTGAATAACAGCACAAAACAAGTGTACTTTTTAAAACAACTTCCATGCATGTAGAAATCTTTATGATTAGGTAGTGAGGAAGAAGAGAGACTGATTAATGAAAGCCCATTGTTATTTCAGAATCAGAAAGCCACAATGACCTACTTTGGGTAAAAGAACAGAATAAAATTCTAAAATGTAGGACATAAATGGTAGGTTGCAAATAATATAATTGAAAGGGCTGCCCTTACTTCATGCAGATAAATTCTGAGACAGTAAATACAATAAGGGACTCATTGCAAATTAAAAATAATATATATTTTTTCCATTTTATGATTCTTTTTCTAACAGCAACTTCCATCTCTCTTCTTGAAACATTCTCTGCCATAAGGATGAGGCATGAAAAGGATAACACAGAAAAGTGCATTGTCTAGATGCTAAGACTTGCAAATCAACAATGATTTTATCAGAAAAGATCTTTTAAAATGTCTTGCTTATCTGATTAAATCAATTTTGGATTGTAAAACAACCATCGCTTTAGTCTTAAAATAAATGCAATAAAACAAGAACACTAATGAGCTTCACAGGCAGAGTTGCCACATTTGTCTTTTAACGTGGAATTATTTTTCAAAATAACTGAACTGAATTACCATGAAACAGGGTAGCCTTATAGGTTGACAGGTAGTGAAAAAAAAAAAAGGTAGTTTTTCTGTAAGAATGACACTATAATAAATTATTTACTGTTTTAAACCCTAAGGAAATATACAAGTTATTTTGCCATCTAATTTGCCATCCCATTCCCAATACAGGATTTCTTTTCAGGCTTTGTCATATATTTTGTGTTTTTTTCTACAGTCTTACACAGGGTTCCTGGTCTTGATACACACTTGGTTTCTTTGGTGCTTTATTCCAGGTTTACCACTATGTTTTCTATACTGCTGTCGTTGAGAATCATAGTTCACGTGTTGACAATCTATATTATTGCTTGGAATGTAGGTATGAAAGCAGGTGAGGTAGAGTTAGTATTTTCCTTCACACAACGCTCTAGAGCGTCCCACTGTAACCTAGTACCCTTTGAAGACTAGGGGGGAAGGCTACTTACAGAAACAGAAACTGAGTGAAGAATGCATAAGCTGATACAGAAATCCTCTGTTGAACAATAAGAGTAAATTAAGGCATACAAATAACCAGGACATTTAAAGCCTGGCATACAATCTAGTCTTACTAGGCCCATGTATGGTCCTTGTGGTGAGTCCAGTTTTTAAAAAAATAAGGTGTGTGTGTGTGTGTGTGTGTGTGAGTGTGTGTGAACTAGATTTGTCAATAAGTCTAGGAAGCCTAGCCTGGAACCATAGGTTTGCACATCCTGTCTATATACATTCTTGGTATAAAGAGAGATAATGAAATTGCATACAGGGATGGGCTGAACCCATTAGCTACACCTTCATTCTAAGATTCCTAATGCTAGCAGCAAGACTGGGAAGAATCTCAGGTTCCACTTCATTTTCCTATTGATTAAAAAGATTGCAATGTTCAATTATTCTGCAAAATCAGCTTATATAAAACTTGTTAGAGAATAACAAAATTCTGACATGGTAATATCCTTATTTACATCTTAAAATTTCATCGAGAGAAAGGACACACAACTTTCTTTGATAAGATGAATATCAGAACATCTGCCATAAATATTTATGGAAACTACAAAAAATGGATCCTTGTGATCAAATTATCCCAATCAAAAAATCTTACAAGGAGTGGAAAGACTTGGAGGGAGAATCATTGTTTAATCATTCAGTTTCCTGCTTCCCACCTTCCACTAACAGAAGCATAAAAAGAAATTCTATGGCTGTCTTATCTACTCAAATGGTTTAAGGTCTACTCTCTTTTAAAGAAAATATGAACGCATTAATTTCTTATATTTCTCTGAAACCTCCATAACAGTTGGCTGTAATAAATTCACAAAGAATATTATTACCCTTTGCCACTCTTTTGTGCAAAAGCTGATCAATCCCTCTGACTGAAATTTGAGAGACATATACATTTATCACTCCAGGACCTATTTTTGCGGCAAATTTCATTACATTCTCTACTCAAACAAAATAGTTTTGCATATTTTAAATGAGGTTAAAGGTGCATAGTTTGAAAAAACTTCCATTGATCTGCTTAAAAAAAAAACAACCACCCATTTTAAAAGCGTGTAGCTCAGTGTTGTCCATTTTGCAGAATAATTGAACATTGCAATCTTTTTAATCAATAGGAAAATGAAGTGGAACCTGAGATTCTTCCCAGATTTTGCAGAATAATTGAACATTGCAATCTTTTTAATCAATAGGAAAATGAAGTGGAACCTGAGATTCTTCCCAGTGAAATTTGGCATACTTCCTCCTACAATATTTTAATTTCTTATTAAAAAACCAAGATACAAGTGTTTGTAGATACAATATGTTTTCCCATGCTAGATAGTAGAAGGGAGATGCTCAGTTTTTTCCGATTCAGTCTTCAGACTGAGGAATGAGAAGAGGTGAAGCAGGCTGCGTTTCTTTTGAAGCCAAGGTTCCAGCTACAAAATGAACTGAATGTCCTTGGATTCTATGCATTTTTGTCATAGCAAATGTAAGAATGTGAATTCGGGATAACCAAGGGAAGCAACAAATGCCACAGGGGTCGTGGCCATAAAGGTTAAATAGTGTATGCTTCCCTCCCAAAGTGGAAAAATGATCATATTAAAGTTTATCTATAATTATAGGTATATTCAGTTTTGAATTTTTAATGCTATCATTTAGATATATGATAGCTGCCCTACTCCAAAAGACTCTGCATGGCTTACAACATCCAATATACAATTTTAAACAATTAAAATAGTTATAATGTATACAATTTTTATTTTATTTATTTATTTATTTATTTATTTATTTATTTATTTATTTGTTGATCCTGCTTTTCATATAGGAGCTCAAGATAGCATTCTAGCACTTCCTCCTCCCATTTTTCTTTCTCACAATTACCCTGTGAGAAAGGTTGGGCTGAGAAAGAGTAATTCACCTAAGTAACCCTGGGCATTTACATGGCTGAACTAGACTTCTCCTTGATGCCATTCCAACACTAAAGCATACTGGCTCTCATCTTGAAAACAGAAAAAGTGAAGAAGAGGCAGAAAAATTTTGTGACATTTTGCCTCTCTTTTGAAATTGCAAATTAATTGTGTTAGTTTCTATTCTTCACATTTCCTTTATTCTAAAAAACGGGATTTTTTTCCTATTCATTAGAGAGCAATTCATGGCCTGCCTGAAGCTACCGGAGTACTTCCAAGGAGTAACAAAAGCACTGATTTTCAACAGTGCACTTTCTTGTGCTTGTTTTTGGCAAAAACAAGAAAAAGAGAGGCACAAGATGGGTACTTTATGCCTCTGCAGGAATCCTTAAAACCATCTTCAGAATTGTCCTTTGGCCCTGTCCCGTGATGTTATCACATTAACCACATAAGGCTCAGAGCCTGGAGGCGGGGCAGGGGAATGCATCACAGAAACCACCTTCTTCAGTACTACATACCTAATTTTCTAAAATACTGTAACTAATCTTTTTTTCTGCTTATTTCTCATCTACATTTATGGTAAAATCAGGGATGATCCTTGGGCTAACACTGTTTCTTCCTCGTACCCTTCATAATAAAGCAATATCCAGACTAGGAGATAGATCTTGAACTCATAAGAAAAATCAGATTTCAATATGGAGTTCCATGTACAAGTAACTAGATGAGACAGAAGCAGTAAACAAGAAAGGACCCAAATCCAAGAATGTCTTCCATCTCTCACCCTGTGCAGAAATATGAGGGATGATAGGAAAAGGACCAGAAAAAAGAAAGCAGGTTAAGCACTCTGGATATCAGCACTGTTTTATCAGACAGGTTGGTTCTATACCAAAAGGAGATTCCTCTCTAAGATTGTGACTAGTTACGCAAAAGACAAATATTAACACAAATCCAAACTCACATCTCTCATCATTTTCACAGCTTCCCTGGTCCTCCCCAGTTTTCTTGCACACATAGCCAGCCTCCTTTTAATGTAGACTAATACATTAGTGTCCCGTCCTGGAAAGAAAGAGAAAGAAGGAAGGAAAGAAAGAGAGAGAGAGAAAAAGAGAGAGAGAGAGAGAAAGAAGAAGAAGAAGAAGGGGGAAAAGGTTTGAAGAGGTTGAGTGTTTACAGAAACTGACAGAACAAAAGGTCTATTTTAACATCTCCAAAGAAATGCCTTCTTAGAATTTATTACGGAATAGAGAAACCAGGTCAGCATAATAAAAAACCGAACTTAAAACCTCTCTGTCACTAATCTCTATCACTCTCATTCTGCAGGGAGATGGATGGTGACAAATTTGAAATATAAATAAATAAATATATAATCAATCAATCGTGTTAGAGAAGATGTGCATTTATTCAAGTGGTATTTTTATCCTTAAGTCTACAATATACTACCAGTTATTGTGAGCACTGATATTAGATCATTGGGATACACTTCACATCACATGCCTATCACAGTATGGTAACTTCCACAACCTGTTTTATTTAGGTAAGTGTTTCTTCTGTGCACCTCCCTCCAAAATAAGAGCTCGTCTGTGCAGCATGCTGCAAAACTGGGCCACCAGTCTAGTTCTGCACTTTGCTCCTATTTTGCTACTGGAGCACCAAAATTCTGACAGGATGGAGAAAATGTGTTTTAAATTAACTATTGCTCCCAGATATTTTTGTACGCTGTAAGCTGCTTGGCATTTCACAGTGATAATATAGGCCTATTTACAGAAACATGCATGACAATCTTAGGAAAGTCACTTGAATTGCTTTCTGTGCACTGACACTATATACATTATACCAGTGTTTCTCAACCTTGGGAATTTTAAGATGTGTGGACTTCGACTCCCAGAATTCCCTAGCCAGCATG